CCCAGCCAGAAGGTGGGCGAGGGCAGGGTCCCATGCTGCCATCTCCTCTTCCTGCCTCACAGATCTCACTGCCCAGGCTCAAGGAGCGCATAAGTAATCCTAACTGAGCACCATGACTGCTCTGAGACAGTGGCCCAGACCGGATCCTTGACCCTGGTGTGAATGACTCCTCACATCATTCCCTGTTTGTGATATAGAAACTCTTTAATAGCAATCACTAATATTTATTGGGCATTTTTACCATGGGCCAAGCACTCTCCCTAGCAACCATGTGAGGGAGGAACTTTCCTTATCCCCGTTAGACAGCTGGAGGCATGAAGGCACGGAGAGGTGAGGAGCCTGCCTTGGAATCCCACAGCTCAGAAGTGGCAGAGCCAGGATCAAATCCAGACAGAGCTCAAGCTTCAAAGAGCTGTGCCAGGGCCAGGCCACCACATCACACAATTCCAGGGGGCGCTGCTTCCATAAACATGGTCCCTCTTGGTTTCCCCATCTAATCTAGTGGGACTGTGAAGTTCAGAATGGTGGAGTCATTTGCTCAAGGTCACAGCAAGTTAAGTAGGAGAGGTGGAGTTTGAACCCAGTCCTGTCTGACTTTTGTCACATGGACGCATTTATGTCAAGTTAATAATTCCCAGGAGCTTGACGTTCCAGGTTCCGAGTGCTTAGAAGAGGCTGAAGTCTCAGAGAGGAGAAGAGTCAGAGCCCAAGGGGAGTTCCCAGCATTAAATTGCATTTAGTGGAAGAGATTAGTCAGAGAAATGTATCAATTGCCACGGGAGAAGATCTAATTGTGTGTGTGTGTGTGTGTGTGTGTCTATTCTCACACTGCTGATAAAGATATACCTAAGACCGGGTAATACAGGTTGCAGAGGCCTCACAATCACAGTGGAAGGCAAAGGAGGAGCAAAGGCATGTCTTACATGGTGGCAGGCAAGAGAGTGTGTGCAGGGGAACAGGCCTTTATAAAATCATCAGATCTCGTGAGACTTATTATCATGAAAACAGCATTGGAAAAACCCACCCTCATGATTCAATTTCCTCCCACCAGGTTTCTCCCACAACATGTGGGGATTGTAGGAGTTACAATTCAAGATGAGATTTGGGTGGGGACACAGCCAAACCATATTCGTGCATATATATGTGTATATGTGTTTGCATGTATGTGCATGTATGTGTGTATACATGTGTATATGTGTGTGTGTGTGGGTACATGGGTGTGCAAGCAGGTGCATGAACTTTAGATGAGACTTCACATGTGTCATCTGCAGTTCTCTCCATTGTAGCTCTGCCTTGGAAGGTTAAAATCCCGAATGGGCAGAGTGGACAGTTTGAGAGGTCCCTGTGCTTCAGAACTCACAGGTACAGGCACCCCATTCTGAAGGGCCAGCCGTAGGGGACCTCCCAATTGTCAGGTAGCAAGGATGTCAAGCTGCCTCCTGAGGTGGAAGATGCCACTCCCAGGCCCAGACAGAGGTGAGGCCCCACCTAGGACAAGAAAGCCGATGGTTTGGGGGAGCCATGCCACCCAGGCCTCCTCCTCACTCCCTCCCATGCTCCCTCCAAGGGCTGGCTGTTTCAGGAGCTGGTTTGTACAATCCTGTGCTTTCTCTGCATGTGGCTGGGAGTTTTTGCAGGAGGGAAGAGCTGAGGGTTCATTGCCATGTGATGGCAGACCAGCCTGGGTGCTGATTTCTCCCGAGTCCCAGTTTCTGGGCAGGAGGAAGCAAGGGAGTGGGGCACCCCCCAAGGCTGAGGTGTAGTGGCGTGGACAGCCTGGAGGGAAGGCGGGTGCAGGGCTGGGTGTGGTGCTTCAGGAAGTGTAAGTCTCCATGATGCTGGGCCTGCTGCAGGTCGTGGAGGGCCTGGAGGGAAGGTGGGTGCGGCCACCGGCTCACCTGGGCTGGGTGTGGCGCTTCAGGAAATGCGAGTCTCCGTGATGCTGGGCCTGCTGCAGGTGTACAGGGGCTCAAGACACACCCAGCCTCACTCCATCCCTAAACAGAAGAGTTACCCCATTGTCCTTATATAGGACAGCAGAGCTGCTTCCCTGGGCCATCGGCCAGGACACAACAAAGCAGCTTTGTGATGCAGGGGCCTGCGTCCATCTGTTCTGCAGATTCTTTGTTTTTTTGTTTTTTGAGACGGAGTCTCACTCTGTCACCCAGGCTGGATTGCAGTAGCACGACCTCGGCTCACCACAACCTCTGACTCCCAAGTTCAAGTGATTCTCCTGCCTCAGCCTCCCAAATAGCTGGGACTATAGGCACGTGCCACCACACCTGGATTTTTTTTTTTTTTTTTTTTTTTTTTTTTTGTATTTTTAGTAGAGACGGGGTTTCACAGTGTTAGCCAGGATGGTCTCAATCTCCTGACCTCCTGATCCGCTCACCTCGGCCTCCCAAAGTGCTGGGATTACAGGCATGAGCCACCGCACCCGGCCTATTCGGCAAGGTTTTATGGCATGCTTCCTAGTTGTGCCAGGCCCCCAGGCCAGGTGCTGGGGACCTTGGTGAGCAGACAGGACCAGCCCACGTCATTTGTGCTGCTGGTTTTCTTGCCCCACAGGAACGTGGGCTTAGGGAGGTGCACGCTGGGCTCCCAGTCAGACACCCGGATTAGGGACCCAGGTTGGATGTCGTGCCCACTGGAGAAGCCGCTAAACCTCTCTGAGTTCTCATTTCTAATCTGTTGAGCACAGATAATCCTGGACTCCCTGCTTGCAACCCAGCACTGTTGCAGAGAGCACATGAGGGTGGCAGAGCTCAGGGGGTTTTCTCGGCCAGAGCAGGGGCAAGCCAGGTTTGGCAGGCAAGGCTGACACCCTCAGCTTAGCCTCTGCTGTATGGATTTCTATTCCCTGAGAGCTGGCAGTGGGAGGGAGGTGGTTTCACAGACTTCTAGGGTGCCCGAGCTGGAGGGAGCCCTGAAGATCACTTGGTCCAGGCTTTTCACTATACAGGTGGGGAAACTGAGGCTCAGAGTAGGGTGTGACTTGTCTAAAATAACACAGCTTGTCAGTGTGGTGAGGGTGCATCAGGCTTTAGGCCACGGACTGTCTATTTTTTGGTGGGACCCTTTCTTAAGAACTGCTGCTCTGCCATGAAGAACTCCAGGCCTGGGGCAAGGAAAGTTTGTGGACTAGGAGAGATGAGATGAATTTTTAAAAATATTTTATCAGTGTTCACATGAGACGCAAAACCAGCACTTACAGTGGCTCTGCCGTCTGCAGCTACCCCCAAACGTCAGTGTTCACCCCAAACCTCAGTGCAAGGGACCCCTGCGACTCTCCCTGTCTCCTCTGCCCTGTCATGAGCCTGTAGAGCCAATTGGAAATAGAAAATGACTGTGATGAAAAAGAATATACATTAACACTTGGGGAGGCTGAGGCGGGTGGATGACTTGAGGTCAGGAGTTCGAGACCAGCCTGGCCACATGGTGAAACCCCATCTCTACCAAAAATACAAAAAATTAGCCAGGCGTGGTGGCAGACACCTGTAATCCCAGCTACTCAGGAGGCTGAGGCAGGAGAATCGCTTGAGCCCAGGAGGCGGAGTTTGCAGTGAGCCGAGATTGTACCACTGCACTCCAGCCTGAACAACAGAGCAAGACTCCATCTCAAAAACCAAAAAAAGAATGTGCATTAATATATTTCTAATACTTGCCCTTTTTCTCCCCAAAAGAATTTGAGATCATGTCTAATAAAACCCCACATACTCTAGGGGGCGATAACACAGCTGAAAGAGGCCTCAGAAGCTGGGCAGAGAGAAAGACCTGTGTGACCAGTCAAGGCGGCCTCCGGCCCTAGCTCCGCCCCACACTTGTCCCGGAGCTCCCTCCTGTCCTACACGTTCTTGGCGTAGGCTCCCAAGAGCTGGGCTTAGGATCTGCCTGGTACGCAGCCTGCATTCAAGAGGGAGCTGGTCCTGTAAGCTGATCATGCACCTGCCCTTCTCTTTGCTGGCTCTGCAGAACCTTGGAAGGGAGATTGAAGCAACCTTCAGCCTTGCAAAGAGTTAAACTAATGGGAGTCAAAACACCTTCTTCTTACAATCAGACTTGAATCCTGGCTAGTCCTTGGAGAACCCAAAAGAATGGGTGATAAGAATGTTCTTGGGGCCAGTCATGGTGGCTCATGCCTATAATCCCAGCATTTTGGGAGGCTGAAACGGGTGGGTCACTTGAAGTTAGGAATTTGAGACTAGCCTGGCCAACATGATGAAACCTCATCTCTACTAAAAATACAAAAATTAGCCAGGCGTGGTGGCACATGCCTTTAATCCCAGCTACACGGGAGGCTGAGACAGGAGAGTCGTTTGAACCCAGGAGGCGGAGATTGTGGTGAGCCGAGATCGCGCCATTGTACTCCAGCCTGAGTGACAGAATGAAACTCCATCTCATAAAAAAAATTAAAAGAGTGTTCTTGGACCCCCCTATATATCTGGTCTCACTTTGCTCTTGGTAGGTAACTCCCAGATGAGCTCTCAGGTGAGAGTTAACACAAATGCATCCATGTGACAAAAGTCAGAACTGAGTTCAAACTCCACTTCTCCTACCTAACTTGCTGTGTGACCTTGAGCAAATGATTCCACCATTCTGAACTTCAGGGTCCTACTAGGTAAGATGGGGAAACCAAGAGGGACCATGTTTATGGAAGCAGCACCCCCTGGAGTTGTGTGACGAGGCCCTAGCACAGTTCTGTGGACGCCTGGGCTCTGGATTTGATCCTGGCTTTGCCAATTCTGAGCTGTGGGATCCCAAGGCAGGCTCCTCACCTCTCCGTGCTTTCATGCCTCCAGCTGTCTAACGGGGATAAGGACAGTTCTTCCCTCACATGGTTGCAGGACAGGCACTAGACTTACCAATTGGCACTTGACACAGCCACAATACCCGGCACAGAGGATTCCAGGCTTTCTCCCCATGGTGGTGGGTGGTGCCAAGCAGCAGGCCAAGAGGTCCCCTTGATCCTGACTTCTTCTTCCTGTCTCCCTGCTCTCCAGGCCAAGCAGTCCTTAGCCACGCTGACCAAGGACGTCCCCAAGCGGCATTCCCTCGCCATGCCGGGCGAGACGGTGCTCAATGGCAACCAGGAGTGGGTGGTGCAGGCGGACCTCCCGCTGACCGCAGCCATCCGGCAGAGTCAACAGACTCTCTACCACTCACACCCCCCTCACCCCGCGGACCGGCAAGGTGAGTCCTGCCCTGGCCTGGCCCCACCACAGCTTCGAGGGGCTTCATGGGAGGCCCTGTGACCCAGTGGGAGAGACAGCTTCGTTGTTCACACTACAGCAGCTTAGGGGGTATGGGGCAGAGACCTTGGGCTCGTGTAACTGAAAACTCTAAGAGATGGACAGCAGGCATAGCTGGATCCAGAGGTTCAAACACTATCTGGGTCCCTCTGACCACATCTCTCTATCTCTTAGTTCTGCCTACCACCTTTTGGCCTCGTCTTTGGCCTGTCTCTTTCTGCAAGAAAGTAAAATAGTCCCCCACAGTTCCAGATGTTTAAAACCCTCACAGCTCAAATCTTAAGAAAGAACAACTATCTCTTCCCCCTGTATCCATAGCAAATCCTAAAGAAAGACTCTGATTGGCCACATAGAGTCACATGGCCATCCTTTGGCGGGGGCGGGGGCAGCAGAACTCCTTGACTGACAGCTCTGGCCAATCACTGGGCATGCAGGAGGGGCAGATGTCAATGTCACAGGTGTTTGCTCCAGGCACTTGGCAGGGAAGTCTGGCCTCTGGGCAGCATCTGCACCCACTGCCTATGGTACAGGCTTCAAACTCCTCACTGTCCCATTGCACGTCTGCAAGCCACCTTGCTCTGTTCTCTGTCCCTTCTGCAAGTAGCTACCTTGTGTGATAGATGCAAGTTGGGAACAGGCAGCTGGCAACAGCCATTGCACCAGGGGTGGGAAATGGTCACTGTGAAGGCTGCAGGCAGGGCTGGCCCTTGCCGCTGCAGGAGATGAGTCAGACACAGTCCTGACCCATGAGGGGCTGGCAGGTTGATCAGGGAGAAGCCAGCAGGCCCTGCCTTTGCCTGGTGAGGGTGCAGCTGGGGGAGTATAGGTGAGTCATTACGATAAGGGGCGCAGGCCCTGGGTTCAGATTGCTGGGTTCAGCCCTGGCCCTGGGGCTTACCAGGGTCATGACCCATGACCTTGGCCAGGGTCCTCAGTTTCCCCATGTGTAAAAGGGGCATCAGGCTCTTAGCACACAGAGTACGTGAAAGGTGTTTGCTGAGGCTTCCTTTACCTACTTCATGGGGCTGTCATAAAGATGAAATGCAGAAAACTGTGGGAATGGGGCTGGGATCGTGGTCCGAGCTGGGTCAATATTAGCCGCTGTTCTCATTATCATCGTCATCACTGTTGTCATCATCATTGAGAGGTGGCACAGGGGACTTTGAGAAGCCAGACAGTAAGCAAATTCAGTCTTCCCCTCCCACTGAGTGCAAACAGCAGCCCTCCCTTCACTGTCTGACTCAAGGTGCTGTGACTTTTTTGGGGTAAGGGTGGGCAGCTGTGGCCTTCAAAGCCCCTACTCAGAGCTGGAAGAGCTTATGCTAAAACTGCTCAGGGCCGGCATCCTTGTCAGGCAGGGAAACTGAGACCTAGAGAGAGCCACCACTTGTTCAGAGTCTCACAGCCCAGCCATGCAGTCAGCTGTCCTGGCTTCTGGTCCAGCCCCAGGACAGCAGGAGCGCAGATGTGCAATTCGAAGGCAGACAGGGCTTGGGCAGTTTCTGAATCACATGATGGCAGCAGACTCCTCGTCATCCTCGTCTGCGTCTGTGGAGCTGGTTCTGGTCTGGGAAAGCCTGGACACGCTGATGGATCTTTCTTCTGGGCCCTTCATTCTCCACAGTATCTGCCTCACATACAACCATCTCCATGTATTTTATCAAATGTCCCCTCCTCCAGGAAGCCCTCTGTGCTCTCTCCCCTGTGTCCTCTATTCTCCTGTAAAGTTGGGTGCTCACCTGCATCAGCACTTCTTACCTTGCCTCGGGTTTGCTGTGGATGCATTTGTCACATGACTCCTCCCATCTGTCCAGTGCCTGGCACTGCAGTAGGCACATCATACATGCAGCTACTTTCCGGGATTGGTACCACCGCCATCCATCCCTAGGTTACACATAACACACTTGGCTCAGAGGGCCGGGGAGGATGCCCAAGGCCCTCTGTGTGTTACCCACACAGCCTGTAGGGTAAACTCACCCAGATTGGAATTGACTCCAAAGCCAGGGCTCCTTCAGCCACCCATCTTCTGTATTAGACCATATGGCCATTGGTGGCAAGGACTGTCTTTTGCAAGAATGCAACCCCACCTGCTGGCATGCTGCCTGCACATAGCAGGTGCCCAGCCAGTCCTGTCAAAAGATGCTTTCTCCATCCAGTGCCTATGCCTGCAGACAGGAGAGCAACCTGCTGGGGACTTGGGAGGGCTTTTGGGCTGTGGTTTCTGGTCTAGACCTTTTATTGAGCACCTCCTATATGCCAGGCACTATGAGCTCTGGGATTCAACATGAATAAGACACCCAGGGTACCTGCCCTCACAGAGCTGTTGTTGTCCTTGTGCGGATATGACACACAAATATACTATTAAATAACAAGCAGAATGATGAGAGGTTGTGATTAGCACAAGAAGAGAAATCAATAGAAAACAGGCACTATTGTTTTGGAGAGATGGAGTGTTGCGGTGTTTCCCAGGCTGGTTTTGAAGTCCTGGGTTCAAGCAGCCCTCCCTCTCCGGCCTCCTAAAGTGCTGAGATTACAGGTGTGAGCCACCATGCCCAGGTGAAAACAGGCTCTTTGATGGGGAAAAAAAAAGAGTTCCTAGATGTGCCAAGCCCCTGACCACTAATTTAGAGCAGAAGTAGGGACTCAGCATAGAGAGGTTGGAGAAGGTTGATGGAGCTTGGCATTATGCCTGCAATTCCAGAAGTAAGCACCAGGAGTCTCCCTAGTACTGACTTTTGATCCAAAGGATCTGTGGGCTCTGGGCAGGGCAGACTGATTCTGGGTTATAGTGAAGTGTAGAGAGAGCTGATTACTGGGGAAGGCCTCTGATGGGCAACAGGAACAGCAGAAGCCAAGGCAGGGGGTCGTGGCCTGTCTCAGGCAGTCAGGCTGATATGGCTCAAGCCGAGGCTGCTGGGGTAGGCAGGGCTGCGGCACATCAGGCGAACTCGGAAGCCAGGAGGAAGAGAGGCAAGGTGCCAGCGGCTCATGTTCTGGTGTGTAGAATGGAGCCAGGGCACCCCACTGGGAGGCCATGTGGTCTTCCAGGTGAGGGTCAGTGGTGGCCGTGTGGTGGAGAGTAGACAGATTTGGGGCCATGTTTTGGAGCTCCTGCTGCGGCTGATTGGATGTGGGATATGGGGGAAAGAGAGGAGTTGGTGGTGGCCTTTGGGTTTCTCGTTTGGGAGACCGATTTGGGGCAGTGGTTGGGATGGTACCAGGTCTAGGAATGTCCAGATGTGGGCGCGTGTGAGCAGAGTCACAAGTACTCAAGTATTTATGCGTAATGGTGCTCCTTAGAAATGAATTTCTAAAAAATCAGTCAATTTCCTATACCGGACTTGGAAACAAGGAGACTTAAACTTGAAATGAGAAGAAGACTTGAAAACTTCCACGTCTTCTCCTTCACCCTGGTGGAGGAGGGTTCATCGGATCCAGAGGCTGTGGGAGGTTCTTCGCAGCGGCTGCTCTGTGGGATGTGCGTGGCTGTGGATTAGCGGGGTGGAGAACCAGGCAAATCTCTTCCCTTCTCTACACCTCAGTGTTCCCATCTGCAGAACGGGGGTGTTGGGTGGAGTGACCGCCAAGGCAGCAAGGCGAGGACCTTCTCTCCATCCCTCACTCACTAGCTGTCCCTGCTTTCCAGCGGTCAGGGTGAGTCCCTGCCACTCCCGGCAGCCCTCCGTCATCTCCGACGCATCTGCCGCCGAAGGCGACCGGTCGTCCACACCCAGCGACATCAACTCCCCTCGACACCGGACGCACTCCCTCTGCAACGTAAGGCCAGCAGCAGTGGGGCCTGGGGCTCTGCAGCCCCAGAGACTGCAGGGGCGGGGAGGGTGGGGTGAAGCCATGCTCGCTCTTTCCTCTCGTCCACCCAGGGAGCACTCTGGAATGCATTTCCTGTTCTGTTCTTTCCTTTTGCAAGAAGCGATGGATGTGGGGAGAGAAAGAAAAGAGGCCCGTTTATTCCTTGTGTCCGGGAGGGTGAGGAGAACCCAGAGGAAGCGGGCCTGGGTCGGCCTCAGGGTCTGTGCAGCCTGGAACTCTGCCACAGCAGGCCCTGTGTGGAACCATGGGCTTCTCCTCCCAGACATTACACCCTTCAGAGTTCAGGGCCTCCCCAGCACCACCTCATTTCCCTTTAGAGCCAGCTCTCCATCCTGACCCGGGAATCTTGGCATGAATTGCCTCTGGTGAGGCGTGTAAATTTGGTCTAAGTTTGTTTACTTTGCTTATTTCGTCAAATGCTTTGATCACACACTGAGTACCAGCTCCCAGGAGGCAGAGGCCCTAACTGCCTAGCTCTCGATGACTTAGTGGGGCAGACAGAGGGACTCTGAAACTGAGGGAGCGAACAAAGGTGGGTGGACCTTCTGAGGACAGTTGGAAGCCATGTTGAGGCTCTGACATGAAATATTGGGGTCCGGGTTTGGGGACCACCTTGAATTTTTGTTCTGTCACACGGTTGGTAATGCAGAAACTCCCCTGCCGTATCCTGAAGACAGAAACATCATAGGGTCAGATCCTCAAATGCACGAGACAGCTTTTTCCAAAACTCAGTTAATGTCGCTTTATTAACCAGCAAAATAGATAATAAAAAAGAAATGAGGTGAACACATGGGACAAAACCATTACATGCCAGTGACATGATGCTCTACCTGGAATACTCAACAGAATAACTTGAAAAGCTATTAGCACGAAGAAAAGCATGTACATAACAGTGATGCTTGGAAATCAGTGTGTAAAAATCAATCACTTTCCTATAGATGAGTTGTAGTGATGGAACCATTTTTTCAATCCACAATAACAGTGAAAAGTGCTTATATAATTAGCTAAAACTAAACCTCAGAGAAGCTGCCTGTCTGCTAAGGTAGGGGTAGGGATTGCTGGCCTGGGGGCTTTAGGCAGCCTCCTCAGGGTGGGAAGAAGATCATTTACAGCCTGGGCCCTTGCTCGGGGCTGGGATTCTCTTTTTTGTTGTTTTATTTTATTAATTATTTTTTGTATGTGTGACAGAGTTTCTTTCTTGTCACCCAAGCTGGAGTGCAATAGCGCAGTCTCGGCTCACTGCAACCTTTGCCTCCTGAGTTCAAGCGATTCTCCTGCCTCAGCCTCCTGAGCAGCTGGGATTACAGGCACCTGCCACTACACTCGGCTAATTTTTGTATTTGTAGTAGAGATGGGATTTCACCATGTTGGCCAGGCTGATCTTGAACTCCAGGTCTGACCGCAGGAGATCTGCCTGCCTCGGCCTCCCAAAGTGCAGGGATGATAGGCATGAGCGACTGCACCCAGTGGGATTCTCTGTTTTATGCTGGTGGTTTAAGGAAGCAGTGTGTTCTTCTCTTGTCCCCAGGAGAGGGTCCTAGTGACAAAGGCTATCTTTTTTTTTTTTTTTTTTTGAGACGGAGTTTCACTCTTGTTACCCAGGCTGGAGTGCAATGGCGCGATCTCGGCTCACCGCAACCTCCACCTCCTGGGTTCAGGCAATTCTCCTGCCTCAGCCTCCTGAGTAGCTGGGATTACAGGCACGCACCACCGTGCCCAGCTAATTTTTTGTATTTTTAGTAGAGACGGGGTTTCACCATGTTGACCAGGATGGTCTTGATCTCTTGACCTCGTGATTCACCCGCCTCGGCCTCCCAAAGTGCTGGGATTACAGGCGTGAGCCATCACGCCCAGTCGACAAAGGCTATCTTGACTAACAGCACCAAAGCAAGGAAGGTGGGCCATTGGAGGGGTCTCTGACATCCATTCCATGATTCTGAAGGACCTCCGTGGAGTTACACCCAGAGCCAGAAATACCCCCAACACATCCCACTTGAGAATACCTTCCCCCCATATTTTGTCTTCACATGGTGGGCCCAAGTGGACTCTGGACTGCACTTGACCCAAGCCTAGCCTTTTGCCCTCCTTAGCCTTGGCACATGCCTGCTGCTAGAGACAGCAGTTCCAGCACATTTATTTCTAAGCCCACCTGACATAGGTCCCTGCTGCCGGGAAATGGGTGCTTTGATAACCTGTTGTCTGCATGCAGGTGTTTCAGTGAGCAGCCCATTCTCTTCACCCATAAATTTGCCAAAGATGTTCCTATCTAGAGTGGAACTATCTTAACTGCCTGCAGAATGAGCTCTGTTTGCAAATCTTGAGACTAAAGACTAAACTGCCATTCATGAAATTCCCTCACTTCCTCAACCCGTTTTATCCCCCCCATCTCAACAGGTGTGCACACAGGTAAGCCAGGAAGAGTCCGAAAATAGCTACAGGTAACCCCTTGTCCTTGGGCATCTGACCTCCACCCACAAGACAGTGCAGCCTGGACTAAGGACTACCTCATCCTTTCACACTCTGGCCACTAATTTAGAGCAGAAGTAGGGACTCAGCATAGAGAGGTTGGAGAAGGTTGATGGAGCTTAGAATTATGCCTGCAATTCCAGAAATAACCACCAGGAGTCTCCCTAATAATGACTGGGTTTTTTTGTTTGTTTGTTTGTTTGTTTGTTTGTTTTTGAGGCGGAGTTTCACTCTTGTTACCCAGGCTGGAGTGCAATGGTGCGATCTTGGCTCACCGCAACCTCCGCCTCCTGGGTTCAGGCAATTCTTCTGCCTCAGGCTCCCGAGTAGCTGGGATTACAGGCACACGCTACCATGCCCAGCTAATTTTTTGTATTTTTAGTAGAGGGTTTCACCATCTCGATCTCGATCTCTTAACCACGTGATCCACCCGCCTCGGCCTCCCAAAGTAATAATGACTGTTTTGATCCAAAGGATCTGTGGGCTCTAGGCAGGGCAGACTGATTCTGGGATGTAGTGAAGGCTTTTGTACACCACACCCACCTGGAGAGGGGCTGGCAACACAATGGAAATGTCCTACCTGCCCATCCTGGGGACCTGTCTGAGGCTCCCTAGGAAAGAGGGAAGGAGCTCAGACCCCTCCTGGGGCAGCCCAAAGCTCAGGACCAAGTGTGCAGTTGCCCTGGAGCTTCTGCTTGGATGGAGCACTGTGCCAGAAGGATCTGAGTCCCCAGGTAGAGTTGTAGCTCTGCATCTAATCAGCTCCATGACCGTGGACTCTGCTGCCTCTCTTCCTATCTGTGAATAGGGCTGAGTCCTCTGCCCCTGAACAAACTAAGATTCATCGTGTTGGTTGTGGGGGAAGCTAGAGGTTACGTGGTCTCCCAAGTTTGTTTCTGTCCCAAAATTCTTTATTTTGTGCTCTTTCTATTAAAGTATATTTCTATATGAAAAGCACCAAGTCTAACCAAGCTCTGGCTCTAACTCAGTCGACTGACTGGGACAGGAACTTGGAAGCTTTGGAGTGGCTAATTTGTTGATCAGAAGATGTTGGGAATCGAGAGGCCGGACCAGGCAGGAGAGGACCCCAGGGCCTCTGGGTGAAATCTAGGCCCCATCAGTAAGCCATCTGGGGGTATCTGCTTCAGGAGATGGGGGATGGGCACCCCACTGCAAAGGCAGGGTGGCCCCTGAGGGATGGCATCCTTCCACGGAAGGCCCCACACCACGTGAGCCACCTCTGCTCTCCTGTGTCACGTGTCTCTGCTGTTTCATCTTCCTCTTCTCCTCTGGCTACAGGGCGACAGTCCCGGCCCAGTTCCGAAGAACCTGCACAACCCTATTGTACAGGTAGGTGTGCCCTCCTGGCCACTTGGCCCTCCCCCAACCCCACCTTGACCGTGACTTCTCCCTCTGTTCCCCTGAGCCCACATCCATACTGCTCACCTAGGTGGAGAGGATTCAAGCCACTTACGGAGTCTCAAGTAGGCTCAGCACCTGGGCCTGCCTGGCCCTGTGTACTGCAGGGCTGTGGAGCTGCTGAGCGCACACATGGCCTCCGTCTTGCCTCCCTGGCCATGGCTTGCCCTGGCAGCCAGCTTTATAAAATTCCCATTATTATTACAAAGCTCATGGCCCAGGCAGTGAGCTTTGGTGGAGATGGGGTTTCACCATGTTAGGATGGTCTCCATCTCCTGACCTCGTGATTCACCCACCTTGGCCTCCCAAAGTGCTAGGATTACAGGTGTGAGCCACTGCACCTGGCCTGTTCTCAGGGTCTTTATCCTCACGTTAGCAACATTCTCGTGGTAGTCTCGGAAGGGTCTTAGTGTTGTCCGTGAGAGGTTCTGTGACTGGCTCATGTTTGCTCAGTGAATGAGGGGCTGACCTTGGCATTCCAGCCCTGGAGGTTGCTTCTCAGCCTCCCCAGCCCCTGTCCCTGACCCTACTGGCTTAAAGCTCAGAGAGGTCTTCCCAGCCCCGGATCCCATCCACTGTAGTCTGCACCCAGCTAAGCTTGGCTTTCTCCTTCTCCCCCACCCTCTGTCACGTGGCTCCCGACTCCTCAGTCACTAGAGGATCTTGAAGACCAAAAACGGAAAAAGAAGAAAGAGAAGATGGGATTTGGCTCCATCTCCCGCGTCTTCGCCAGAGGGAAGCAGCGGAAGTCCCTCGACCCCGGCCTCTTTGATGGTACCACCCCTGATTATTACATAGAGGAGGACGCGGACTGGTGATACGCGCTCCCCCGCGCCTGCTGCCCGCAGGCGTGTCTGTGCGTGTGGGCGTGTGTGCGAGCGTGGGTGCGCGTGTGGCCGTGCGTGGGGTGTGTGTGCATGTGCGCGTGTGCTCTGGCACACATGGGTGCTGGGTGTGGCCGAGTGCCTCTCACAATGAAAACACGAGTGTGAACCCCCGTCCCCTGCGTCGCCACCTCTGTAATTGATGTACATACCGCAAACCGTGTGTGAATCTGTCAACTCTGTCGTCTTTGGAGCGATACGGTTGTGTTGTTAATCTGGTTTATTATTTTTCTTCCATGTTTGGTTTTTCTTTTTTTTTTTTTTTTTTCTTTTTGTTCGGTTCGTCGGTTTGTTTTTGTTTTTTCCCCCTTTCTCCACCCCTCCTCCTTTTTATGAAACTTGAAAACTTGAAGGACTGCTGTGTATTTGTAAATAACAAAACTATTGTGCACTCCATGCTTGTAAATGTCCCTTGTCCAAACCGCTACCCCTGGAGCCCGTCTGGCAGAGGATGTGGTCTGTTTTTGATGTCCCCCTTCCCGCCCCCTCCCCGGTGTGAACGTGTGGGACCAGACCCTGTCCTGGGGGTGTGCCCAAGTCACTTTAATCACAAAACGCCATCATCGTCGTCAGGGTAAGGTCCGCTCTCCACAAAGACTCGTGAGCCCGGCCGCGGGCCTTGTCTTGGCTGGGTTTGTCAGAGGTCAAACGGGCTCTTTTAAACAGCCTGCCGGTTTTTTTAAATTGCGTTGCCATTTCTTTCTTTATGGAAAAAAGAAAAAAGAAAATTGTTTCGTTTAATTTATTTGCACAAATGCTGAAAACGTATTCTATCTAAATTATTACATAAATATTGGAATGTCTATTTTTCCATGGGGTGGGCGGGAGGCGGGTGTTTCTGTTGACGTGTCTGTTCTGTTACCATGCTGCCGCCCAACTGTGCAAAGTAGTTTAGGGTGGCCGGAACCCAGGGACCAACGGATTTCAGACCTTGTTTTTTCTGTTCTCTCTTCTCTCTCCCTCTCTCTCTGTCTCTCCCCTCTCCCTCTCTCTCTGTCTCTCCCATTCTTCTGCTCATGCATGAAAGTGTCCTCCACCTTCTTCCTGTCCAGAGCTCCTCCGGGCCTTTCTAGAGCTATGTATTTATCTGACCTGTAGAACACGACCTCAGTGAGCAGAGTGCTGACAGTCATGGTCCCTTCTTTGGGTCTGTCTTTTGAGAGAGGTTGAGTTCGGGGCAAGACAGCCTGCACACACTCAAGGGTACGACAGAGGGACCCTGGCCTGAGTCTGTTCCCCAGGGGGCCTCCGGCAGCATCCGTTCCTCCCTGCAGCTGTGTCTTTCTTGTCCTGGGTTTATGATGCAGGTGGGCCAGGCAGATGTCATTAGGGGAGGGATGCACCTCAAGAGGAGGGCCACAGTGGGGATGCAGAGGCCAGCACCTGAGCCCTCCACCCTCCCCATTCTGGTGGTTCCATCGGCCACACTTAGAATCTCCTGGGATCCCTCGGGCTCTGTCCCCTAACTTGTCACAGCAGCCTGAGTCTACCCGCCCCAGGAGAGGAGAGCTGGCAGGAACATCCGCCTGTTTGGGGAGTGGTGTTGGCCCCAAAGAGGCTTCACCAGCAAAGGAACTGAGTGCATTGTAATGCTGGGGGATGGAGGGGATGTGAGATGCTCAGCTGGGTCTGCCCAAGGCCTAAAACTCAATTTCCCTTTTCTTTTGCTTCTGCTTACCCTTAACAACTAACAGCTCAACTCCTGCCTCTAGACAACCGTAGTCATGCTTTCTGCTAATGGTAACATTTTCAGCTCTTAAAAGAAGCAAGGGGATTTTCAAATGCTAGTGTATCTCCATCAGAAGGGATAGGTTATTGTGTCCAAAGTCTCAAGAACAAACAACTCTTTCCTCCTGACCTGGTCCAAAGGTCAGCAAAGAGCAGGCGGAGGCCTCATCAGAACCTTTCTGTCCTCCTTTGGCCAAACTGTTGAACTAAGCCTATGGGTTGGGCGGGGGGGGGCGCCCTGAGCTGGCATCTTTCTCTACGGAGAGAGATTTTAGCAAATACTTTTCTCACCCATGAATTTCTTTTTTGGTTGATTTTTATGGTTTTCCCTTTACTTACAAGAAAATGAGATTGCAACCACTCCTGGTAATGATTTAGTAGTTCCTTTTCATTTCAGTTTTTGTAAATTAGGAGATAATTCTAAGAGTTACTAAAGGATGATTTATTTAAGAGAACTCCGTCAAATAGTGAATGAGTTATGGGTAACATTAGATGAAAATAGCCTTTCCCATGGGAAAGGTTTCTCGAAGGCATGGATGCAAATATAAAATAATAAAAAAAATCTAAATAAAGCTTATTTTAAAATATGATCGAATCCTATGTTATTTGATTGCTTCTATGTGGCTCCGGGTGGGAGGCTGTGCCCCTCTGGGAGGCACAGGCCAGCATGACCTACTCCGTGGACTTCCAGGACTGGGTTCTGGGAGGGGGTTGGGAGGGGCCGAGGAAAGCTGGCTGGATTTGGGGCCCTTGGAGGGCCGAGCCGGGGTAGCCTCCCAGAAGCATCTCGCCTCTGCTACCCTGACTAATTTGGAGGGCTGCCCTGTGGTCCAAATGCACCACCCCACACCTGGCACCCTGCATTGTGGAGCTCAGCAGCCCCAGTCAGCTTTCATCTGCTTCCTTCTCCCCCTGAGCTCCTTCCAGAGGCCCCGAAGGGGCCTGTTACTTCCAGCAGACCTCAGTGGGCCTCTGTGCATCCCACGATCCCACCCTCCCTGGAGGACCGGGAGGGGCTTCAGGGAGACAGGAAGCCACAGGCTTCCTTGACTGAAGCCAGAGTGAGCCAGGCTTTTCCTGGCCCCAGGAGAAGCCCCCAGATACAAAAATCAGGCCTCTGCCAGCGAGACTCCACCATGTGTCCCAAGAAGCAGGTACCCAGGTTCCTCCAAAGCTTGACATAGTCAGTGCCCTCAACCTCTGTGTCCCACCTGAAAAAAAAACGTTCTCCCCCAGCAATAAGACTGCTAGAGGACTGGCTTTTAACTCCCTCCACCTCTGCAGGAAGAAAGCATAAAGTTTTGTAATCTACCGTAGACCATGCCAAGGTTAAAATGAGGCCCAGCTAGTGAGGATGCAAGTGAATATGGTAGGACTGGGAAGGTCAGAAAAGTCCTGGATGACAAGGAACTTGTGGTCATCTGCCCCAGCAGTTCTCAGCCTGACCACACCTTAGGGAAAAAAAAAATACTGATGCCAGGCCATATTCCTGGAATTGGGGTGTATTTAAATCTCCTCTGGTGATTCTAAAGGGTTGCCAGGATTAGAATCGCTGGGCTGATCTGAGGAGGGCAAGTGTGGCCACACTCATGCCCCCATTCCCCTCTCCCTTGCCTCATCTAGACATCACCAATCAATTGAAGAGCCCTTCCTGCCCATCCCGAGTGGCCTCTGATTTCTCACTGTTCACAGCCTCAGGTAGCCATGGCCAATCAATCAGAGTTGGCATACAAGGATAAAGCCTTTTTGCCCTCTCAAAACTAACCCCATCTCTCATGCTGGACACATGGCAAAAACTTTGGCCCAGAGAGGAATGACTTGGCCAACGTCCTAGCTTTTGAGCTTCTCATCCTGGGACCTTCTGAAGACCCAGGCCACACCTTATTCGGGTCTTTGTAGCTCTGCTCAAAATCCACAATACCTCCTTGTTAAAAGAATCTTCTCCAGGACCTTGCTCCAAATGGTCCAACTTCAAAATGGTACCTATTAGTCGGAGATTGGAGTAGGGCTGCCCAGGGCATCCAGGACCAGCATACCAGCTGCACAGGTTGTGCACTGCATTACTCCAGAAGTTGACGTTCTCCAGGCTGCCATGTGAATGGTGTCTTGAGTTGTTCAGTGCACAACCTGTGTGACTGTACTCAGTGGCCCGTTTATGTGCTCCTCGTAGCCACACTGGCAGGCTCCAACAGCTGTAACCAATAACAATAACAATAATGATACTATCTAACATTGATTAGGCGTTGACTGCAGGCCAGGGTCCTTGCTGTCCACTTGACACATATTAACTCAGTTAACACTTCGGCAGCCTGTCACTGATCAGAAAACAGAGACTGAGTAACTCATCTGGGGTCACAGAGCTGGGAGACAATAGAACTGGGCCTCAAAGCTATGGAATTTTGGCTGCAGCATTTGTGCCCTCAGCCACTTCACCACCTGTGCAGTGAGGAGCTGCCACCAAGCAGCTGGGCCTTCTCCCTGGGGGGCATCTTCAGCGCTTCATCTGGGCCTGGTTTCAAGGTCCTGCGCCCACCAGTAGCCTCTGACACAGCCTTGCACTGCCTCCCTTTTGTGACCAAGCCTATTTCCATCAACCTTTTCCCCACAGGCCCAGAAAGCTCACCCCTAGGGAGGAATCAGACTGGGAATCAGAGCAGAAATAGGCTGCCATCCAGCACCAGCTCTCCCGCCCTCTTCCTGGCCAAGCCAGGAGCAGAATCACTTCCACTGTCCCTGGCTGTACCAGAGCTGCGGATCCTGAGGGCTAGCGCAGCCCCGCAGAGCTCTGTGGCACCCTGCCCAGCCACAGCCCAAGCCTGCAGGCCAGGAGTTGCCCGGCAACTGTGACAGATGGTGCCATACATGTCAGTCAACCTGGGCTCCTGGGGAATCCAGGCAGAGTGGGCCTGAACCGCGGGGGATATCAGCGATTTGACAATAAGATTTTTCAAATATTTCTGGGCCAAAAATTAGCCGAGTGTGGTGGTACACACCTGTAGTCCCAGCTACCCAGGAACCTGAGGCAGGGGCATCCCTTGAGTTTGTCCAGGCTGCAATGAGCCAAGATCGAGCCACTGCACCCCCAGCTTAGGTGACAGAGTGAGACCCTGTCTTTATTCATAAATAAATATCTCTGGGCTTTTCCCGCAGAAACTTGCATTT